CCTTATAGAAAGCCTATAGATACCGTTTCTGTACAGATCCCTGAAGGAATCCAAAAAGGGCCCCGAAACCTTAAACCCTAGAACCCTAAAACCCTTAAGCCCTAAACCCTAAACCCCTAAACCCCAAACCCTACTCCCTAAACCCTAAACCCCTACAACCCAAACCCTAGACCCTACACCCTAAACCCCAAAAGCCCAAAACCCTAAACCCTACACCCCAAACCCTAAACCCCTAAACATACCCCCCTTAGAACCCCCTCCCTTAAGGATTCCATAAAGTCAGCCCCAGAGCTTCTGCAAGGACTTGTTTGGTCTCGACAGAAACCGGCGGTGGCATCGCGGCCATGCTTGGAGAAGTGCTTCGTATCGGCCAGGCTCACCCCGGTTCGAGGGCGTTTAGGGTTTAGGGGTTTAGGGTTTGGGGTTTAGGGTTCTAAATTTAGGGTTTGAGAGGCTGCAGTGTTACGGACGTGGTATGGCCGTTACTGGTTACCACTTGCTCTCCCATATACAATATGGTCGCTGTCATGGTTAGCATCAACATCAAGAAGTAGAAGGTCACGCCCAGTACAAGCAGTATTAGACTGGTTCGGGAATGGTGCTATCTGTTGCTACAGCAGTCTTGTCGATCGATGTCATAGTCTTCTGTCTGGTGCTTAGTAGGGAATGGGGGAATGGATCCCTATGATAGTTCCTGTAAGGTCCCTTATAGTAGTTCCTATAACCCATTCCCCCATTCCCTACTAAGCACCAGACAGTCTTCGGCGGCTTTGCAGTCACAATCCATGCATCGTCGCAGTCTTTATCGTGGCGCTGCATTCACAGCCTGTTCGGTGTGGTCGAGTTGTTCATGTGGGTAATTGTCAAAATTAGGGTCCCTTTTGGGCTTACCCTAAATAATAGGTGTCGTATTATAACAAGGACCCAAAAAGGGACCATAATTTTGACAACCACCCATGTAAAGCTGCTTGGGAGTAGCATCATGTTAACAAACTCGTACTCCACGGCCCCGAAAGGAGAAATACGGTCGATGATAGTAACCCTGCATTGCCCATGATAAGGAATATACGTAATTCCAAATAATAATTCCCATGCTTATATCATCAGCAGCGATGGTCCGGCAAGCAGTTCCCTTGCAATCGAACTCACTGGTTTTGACGCCTCAACTGCAAAGAAGAACCTGTACGCTTGAGCCCCACATAATGTAGGGGCCTAAGTAATTATTAATACTACTTTGGGGGTTCCTTTTTATTTTTATAGTATCATGGGCCCCCAAACCCTATTCTATTGTATTTACCAAGGCCCCTGTATTAAGCTTAACGCCACAGCTTCGAACCCTTATATCCTCAACCCTGCAATAAGAGCGCCCGTGAAAAGTTGCCAGAAATGTCTGGTAAAGTGCGACACTTTGAAGTTAACTTCGAAACCGATGGACCAACGATTTAAAGCCAATCCCAAACTATACAGACTAGATGCTCATATATATCTCAAGCTGCACCCTTTGGCCCTTCAGCCGCTCCAAGCGAATCAAGCTAACATACAGTTCTGAGCCCTCAACCCGCCGACCCCAATACCCAGACCTAAACACTGTTAAACCCCTTGAATGTGAGATTGAGCCTTCAAGGCCCACCGCGCCACTTGCAACACTGCGCTGAACGTCCGATCCTCCCGTTCTCACCTGGTGATGATGCTCCTGGGCTGGCCATCACTGGGGTTTTTGCCTGAGTAGTATGTATATCAACGGCGGCGGGTTCAGGATATTTGCGGTTTCAGCCGAAAACTTAGCGCGGACTACTCGGCCATTGAGACGTGTTCCATAGTTTTTTTAATGGGTTTCAGAGCTTAATTTAGGGGGCCTAAATAACTACCTATACTATTTTTGGGGTTCCTTTTCTAATTATAGTACAGTATGCCCCCGAAACCCTATTCTACTTGATAAGTCCCCTATATTAGAAAGTGGCCACCAAGGCTCTTCCTGGCTTGCCGGGACATGAACGGCTACTTGCGGGAGGCAGGCTGTTTAAAGTTGTTCAGACATGACATGCGCTGCGGATGTTGTATGCTACATAGAAGAGATATCTAGATATACGTTTGAACAAGGATTGTGCGTGTGTATATATATGTACATATATACGTCTATTCATACATACGCATATATATATATATATGTTCATATATACATGTATGTTTACATAAAACACATGTATGAATGAATGTATGTATGTATGTATGTAGGTAGGTAGGTAGGTAGGTAGGTAGGTAGGTAGGTACGTAGGTAGGTAGGTAGGTAGGTAGGTAGGTAGGTAAGTATGTATATATGCATATATGGATGGACTCAAGTACTTCTGCATGCACGTATGTAGGTATGCATATGAATATGTACATGTATATGTACATGTATGTGTGTATGTATACGAACCGATTGCTATATATGTAACGGTACTTATATATATATAGATATCACTTTGCATATGTGTATTAATATGTATATGCCAATGTATTTGCATATGCATATGAGTATGACTTTGTCAATATTTGAATATGTACATGTATTGATATTTGCATCCGTATATTGACCCGCATGTCGATGTCTATGTCTGTTTCTATGTATAAGTACATGTATTTGTACATGTATATCTTATGTATGTGCATCTGTATGTATATGTATGTGTATATGCATATGTGTATGTAGCTATATGCAAAGGTATATGTAGATGAATATCTATGTATCTATGAATGTGCCTATGTATACGTATATGTATATGTAATCGTTTGTATCTGTGTATGTATGAAAATACATAGTTACACATATACACATATATAAATATAAGCACAGTGCGTGTACACATGTGTGTTTGTAAACACGAGGGACATATCTATGTACGTATATACCTATATGTATGTATGTATGTATGTATGTATGTATGTATGTATGTATGTATGTATGTATGTGTATATATATATATACATATATGCACATACATGCATACCCCATGCACACTCATAAATACATAAATACATACATACATACATACATACATACATACATACATACATACTAGTACATACATACTAATACATACGTACATACATACATACATACATACATACATACAAACATACATACATACATACATACATACATACATACATACATACATACAAACTTACGTGGAATGTTTCGTGCCTGCCGGCCTGCCTGCCAGCCAGCTGGCTGTAACAACCTACCTATCAACATACACGCATACATATGTATGTACGTAAGTACATACATCCATTTATATTTGCTCCCTCTCCCTCTCTCTCTCTCTCTTGTTGGTAAGTCTGCATGTAGGACGAAAATCTTATTATTTATGTGTTCGTGGGATACTGAGCAAGGTTTTCTGAGATCACAGTCATGTCCACGGAGGCTGGGAAGCTGAGTTTGGTCGATTTGGCCGGCAGCGAACGTTTGAAGCGCAGCGAGGCAGTTGGTGAGCGGAGACGAGAGGCTCAGCACATCAATCGCTCTTTGAGCGCTTTGGCCGACGTGATCTCCGCCAAGGAGCGGCGCGTCTCCCATGTGCCGTACCGGAACTCCAAGCTGACCCAACTGCTTCAGGATGCTCTCGGGGGAGCAGAGCACTGCCGTACTGTGGTTATTGTGACACTTCCGCCTACGAAAGAGTGCCTCAACGACACGCTGCACTCACTGCAATTCTCCCAACGCCTCACGGCAGTCGCCCTGCCAACACCCGTTGTTGAGCGAACGAGGCGCCTGTCCCTGCGCTTGGAGGGCCAGGATAGCAGGGCACAGCTGATGCAGGAGGTCGCGCGATGGCGTGCGGAGTTCGAGAAAGCACAGGCACAGAGGGATGAGCTGAAGACGGCTTTGGAGATCAAAGACAAAGAGCTCCAGGACGGGGCGTGATTACTTCTACGGTGTGCGAACTGGAATAGTGTTTGTCGGCATATTAGAGTTTAACTGTAGTGTAGCATTTAGGGGCTATGACTTGGGTTGCTGGGTTAGCCGCATAGCGACGGAACGATGATACTGCTACTCCAAACCCTGAACCATAAGCCCTACTTGGAGGATCATGGGGCTTAGGAAGTAAGGTTATAAGTCCCTTAGTTGNNNAAACCCTAAGCCCTAAACCCTGATCTTTTAAGTACTACCAGTTCCAGGAGGCTCGGCGTCGTAATGCAGCTCTCATGGCAGCGGGTGATCCTCCGCCAGTCTTAGTGCAGACGATGAGAGACCTACCAACAGAAACTTTGCAGCTGAATTCGTGTTTAGGGTTTAGGGGTTTAG